TGTTCTAAAACATGTATGATTTTTTAAGTAAATGAGCGTCATAGTATACCATAATTTAAAATAATGTTTAACTTTGTCACTATTTTGAATCGCCAAGTCTCCCACAATTGGCCTAGTTGGAGATACTTTTCACAACATATGTGTATGGCAGGTGGTTGTGACATATAATTAAACAACACTGATTATGTCTTCTCAATGAAAGAAGCTCTTTCTACTCACGTTATCATCTTTATAAGTCAGAACTGAAATAAGATAATCTAAAATAATGTTCTTAATAAAGTTGCATTTTAAAGTAACCTCAGTAGATATTGTATGAATAAATATTTAGTAAATAAAAAATAAACAGCCTTTTTAACATGTAATGGGTTATTTTAGTTCAAGTGAGGTGGGGTTGTCTGAAAAGATGCAAACAGTGACAGCAGCAGGTTGTTGTAGCACTTACTTTTTACCTAATGTGACTACTGTAAATGCCTTACTACATTTTGACAAATTAACATGTTTTTATTCWTTTCAATAGGTTTTGTTCCCAACTCTCAAACTTTGAGATACGTGCAATTTATTATTGTTTTGTCTATCTAAATTATTACTCTTCAATCTAAATAAACTTATTTTTGCAGATGTCTGGAGATGAAAGCTCAGTAGACATGAAATAGCAAAGTATTGTCCTGAAAATAAAATTACATTTGACACATAACTGGATAAAACAATTTATTTATTTTTCTGCTGACATGTTTAATTTGACTAGAAAGAACTGAATTAACATCAGTTCTGAAAACTTTCTTTTGTATGAGAAATTGGTTTGCCATACTGTACGTTTTCAGAACTCATTAAATAAAATCTTACACTCATGGAATAAATCCTTTTTGAGCAGAACATTTCTTATGTATCTGTTAAGAGTTTATTCAGTAATGTAAGCATTATAAACCAGAAACCCTTTTTTTCTAACCATAAACTATTTCCATAAATTCCCCATTAGAATAATCCACTGTAATTCACTTAAGTGCTGCTTTAAGGGCTTTTTGTCTGTCTGCTTATTCTTTTCTGCTGCATCACTCAGAAGGTTAACAAGATTATTGGATTGCTTCTTGTWCGAATAGCTCGCCCTGTTTTTGTTTGATTAAACCTGATTGGCAGCGCTTTGTTGTTAATCCTGCTCTCGGGGGCTGMAGTGTTCGCTTCTCTCCGCTCCAGCACCGTGTTCACACCCCCACACTAGTTGTGCACGAATCCCCGACAGTGCCCTGGGCCGAGGAGGGGAACCACCGGCTCCGCTCGAAAGCAGCTTTGATCTGTGCGGAGCAAAAATAAAAAATTTAAAAAAAATCATTTTGCTGCTTAGATTTTCTTCATCTGTGGAGTGAAGTTCTATCTGCCAGTGTTGCTTTTGTGTTGCCATGTTTTGATGTGATCTGCCTGTGAAAGGAGCCTCTAAATATAAAACCTTCCTCAGCTTCTGTGTCCAAAAGCGAACGGTAGTTCGTTTGTGATACTTGGGCCCGTCATCTTATGGGTGTAAGAGAATCCGGAAGGCATGGGCTTGATAATGTATACRCAGAAAAACAGCTCAGAGAAACTTGTGCCTCCAAGGTGATGAGCCAGCACAACTAAAAGCAAAGCCCCCCACCCCCYGACCAAATATTGGTTGCAACTGAACACCATCCTTAAGTTGCACCCCACCACCGCCAAAAGCGATGTTCTGGGGTGCAGAGTCTAAAAATAAACCCTCTTCTCCCACTTGGAGACTTGAGACTAAATTGCGAAGACACGTATCTTGATAACCTTTTGGATCTGATTATGTTGTGTCTAGTTAGTCAGATGGAGCATTCCGTTCTTGCGAGGAACAGGAACATTCGAGGAATCCGTTTCAACTCGGGGGGGGTTTGTTTTCCTCTGACGTTCAGAACTGATCCACAGGAACCACTGAACGTTTTGGTGGATTGTTCCTTTTAAAAATAAATCTTATATGTGGTTATAACACTCTTGTGATACATTTTTTCATCCTGACTTCATGTTTCCTSTTTACCAGGTACAATGGAGCTTGTAGTTTTGGTGGCCTTCAGCTCCTGGCTGGCTCCTGCCCTCGGTGAGTATCACTCCCACCCCATCTTTGCTACTTTTAGATCTTGACGTTTTTCACCCAACCTGTTGCAAATTGTTATTTATTTAAAAGGATAGTTTCATTTTTTTGATGTGGCCTCTTCCCAGTGAAAGGTTACTTGTCGTAGTTTTGCATTGTAAGACCCAGACTGGGTTCAAACCCAGGTTGTGTGTGTTTGCATTAGCTGTTATGGCACAATTCCAGCTCAGTTCCAGAAACCCAGAGACCTGTGGTTCTGTTCAGGCTTGGCATTGACGTCGGCTATTGTTACTCATTGGTTGGTTTACTGACCGGGGATGTCACAACACACAGATGAGATTAACTTTACTTGAATCGTTTGAAGTGACTGTAACAATTTTTCACGCAAATTTAACTAAACAACTTCAGCAATAACAAGCTAACTTTAGCTACCTTATCCTGATGCGTCTCAGTAATCAAGGTAGAAAAAAATCAAAAATAAGTAGGTCCTCTGGATGGGTTCTTCTTTAGTGAAACGTTTTGTCTCTCCTCCAAGAGACTTCTTCAGTCTGATGAGTTTCAGGTGAACTCAGCCTTATAAGCACTGCCTCCACATGGACAAACAGGTTAGTCACATGCAAAAGAGGGCCATCGACTAACAATAGGCTTGATTAGCTCTATTGTTCATAGAGGGTCGTGTGCCCCATCACCTGACCCATGTCGTGTAATGTGTATGTAGTGAATGCAAGCGGGGCTCAACGTCCCCTTGTTTTTGTCCCTCTTTCCCTCTTTGTGTTGGTATCATTGGGGCCCTGAGGRTGTGAATCAGGACCTACTTATTTTTTTCTTTTTGATTTAGCTACCTTAGCTCTGTCGTCTTGCCATCTCGTCTTCAGTATCATACTGCTGAATGGTCCGGTACCCTTCCCTCGAGCTTGATGTCGTCCATTGTTGTGTCAGAAATAAAAGAGATAAGATTCATGTGTTTTTATAATGATGGTCCRCGCCCACACCAAGGCGGCTCTGTGCTCAAAGCAAACACAACCAGAGCTGKGGTAGACCAATGCCAGGCTGACTGCCTTATGTGAAAATGCCMTAGCAATCACCTGAAGTAGATGGATCTTTGAATAAYCTCAGTTTGGAGAGAWAGTTTTGTTCTGACTGKGGGGAGGATTGTCGGGGGTCGATTGCATCGTCGTAAACCAAAATTAATCTCTAAATTTATGTCAGAATTTATTTAGAAACCTTTGTATCTCCATTTATTTTGAGTTAAGCCATAGTTTATTTTTTACAAAGCACTTCATCCAGCCTGAGATGCCTTTTTGACGTTTTGGGTGATTTAAGAAATGACAGCATGAGAGGATGAAGTCAACCTGTCACTGTTACACCTCTGAGCCAGATGTGTAACAGCTGATACATGAAAGGGGTGATGGCTGCAAAATCAGTTTTCATTGATGTAGCTGCGTGACAAAAATTACATTTTTTTTTCTCTGAGCAAATTCATACGATGGAGAATTAGGGCCACACAAGATTTTTTTTAATTACGAGAATAAAGTCATAATATTAAAACATCAAAGTCGTATGGAAATAAAGCCATAATATTATGAGAATAAAGTTGTAACATTACGAGATTAAAATCATAATATTATGAGAATAATGTTGTAACATCACAAGACTAAAATCATAATATTATGAGAATAAAGTTGTAACATTACGAGATTAAAATCATAATATTATGAGAATAAAGTTGTAACATTACGAGATTAAAGTCATAATCTTCTAAAATTAAAGTTGTAATACTATACCCTACACAAAAAAGCATGCAGTTACCACTGCATTAWAATGAGGAATTATTGTCCCGGTCAGATCAGATTGAGCGTATGGTCGGTATGATGGCCAGGGGAATTGTTATGTCAAGAAAATGTTCTGCATATTATTGTCCAACCACTAAATGAGCTGATCTGTCTGTATAACAGGATCAGCGTTTGGTAGGGAAATGTTTGGTAAGTTTCCGGCAGTGGTTGCTTCATGGTTTTTGCATGAAATGTATTTTATTTTATTTTATTTTTTGTTTGATGGCTTTTTGCCATGACCTCAAATTGGATGAACGCACGCAAAAGATTTTTAGTCTTTTACTGCAATTTAACATCATTTTCCCTCATATTTGTAGCCGGTAGTATTTATGTCCGTGTCCTTTTATTTCTATAAGAGAAACAAAAATTTGACCCCCTCTAGCTTGAATAAACAACCTTCTGCCAAGTTTTCCATTGTTAATGCAAATCCAGGTCTCTGCATACCATCAGTTAAGTTTGATGTTAAGCAGATTTGCCTACGCTAAAGATTATTTTCCTTGATTCCTGTGCCAGACTGCAGGTCAGACCTGCTTAAATAAGACTCGTCAAAAGCAATACTGCAAAATATGTTTTCGCCTCGCAGAGAAAAAGCTTAGCATTTAGATTTAATGCACAAGGAGTTCAGAGGTGAMTCAAACATTTTAACTTTTKATTTTCCWGTGAACAGGGTTTAGAGTCGGGATTAAATGATTCTTTTACCAACTGTCAGCTGAATCTCTCAACTTGCACGCATGTAAAGTGACGGCCGATGAGCTCCATTTAGACCCACGTTCACCAATTTCATCTGCTAAATAACTCATTAGTGATGTGAAACGCTGGCTGATGGACGCTCTTACGTAACCCCAAGTGAGCCGAGGTTACATTGTTCTTCATCAAAACATCAATTTTCATTTAAACAATGTCGACTTTGTTCCGAACCGGTCGCTCCGCTAYTCTGCTCGTTTCTTTAAAATCACTGAACATGAGGCAGAAAATGGGATTTAGTGAGTGGAGAATGTTTTCTGACAAGATTTTATAGATTGCAGCCAACTTTATTATAATTTTTTTTTTAATGAGAAAATGGGAAAAATGACCCGTATCCTGGTGGTCTGTACTTTWTCCACATCAGTGGCAAAGATCAGAGAAATAATTCACAAAATAAACAAAGATGTTKGTGACTGTGGTGGATTTATTTTCATTTAATTACACATTTGCTCAATTAGACCGCGAAAGGAAATAAAGTGATGCTACAATTCAGTCATGACATGTTTTTCGGATAATCTCATTAACTTTAATGAWCTTGTACCACAACAATGACATACTCTTTGGAATCACTAAATATATGTTTTCTCATCCACWGTCACTTTTCTGTTGCATTAGTTTTTGCATTGGTTATAAGATAGAACATGATAAAATAAGTACATCCCACACAATCAGACACCACTTATTTTTTGATGAAATGCAAAGTTTTAAAAATAAAATAAAATTTTAGCCCCTAGGACTAAAAGGTGAAGATGGGTGATAGTGTTTGCTCGTCTGTGTGTGTTCTTGTCTGTTATCAGAATATCTCATAAATCACTTGACAGATTTTAATGAAACTCTCAGGAAGTAATCATTGTTTGAACATCTACAATTGTTTAACTTTTGAAGTCAGCCTGGTTCAAGATGGCTGCCACAGCCAACTGACCTTAAAAACACCAAAATAGTTTATAACTTACTAAGTTTTACAGTTATTGATGTAAAATCCTGTGTGTTAGTAGTTGAGACTGATCTCCAGCACATATTCTGAGTAAYGACGGATAATGCATGACGTTTGTTTTAAATTTCCCTATGAAYTGTGTGGAGTTTGCTTTGTCTGTCTGTTAGCAAAATATCTCATAAACCACAGAACACATTTTAATGAAACTTCCAGGAAATAATTATTTGATGTACCTCTGCAGCTTATTAACATTTGGAGCCAGTCCAATTCAAGATGGCCACCACAGCCAACTTCTGTAAAAAAAAAAGGCATRTCTCATGAACCACTGGAAGGATTTTAATGAAACKTTCACAAAGTAATCATTGAATKTACGTCTACAACAAATTACTTTTGGACTTAATATCAATAAAGATGACTGTAATGATTGGCTTTCAATTTATTCTAAATGTAGCATATGAAGCAGACATCTCTTTTACCTTCTGCTGACGTGCACGAACCCCAATGACTGAATTTCTTGTAAAAACTGATGATTTATCTTCTTTTTTTCTYTTTGTCTTTTTCACAGCATCAGCATCAGATGACGACAAAGGTGGGTATTATCTGAGCCAGAGCTCAGAAAAGCCTTATTTTTAGTCAAATGAATCGAGTTCTACTCGTAGCTGGCATTTAAATTAATGCCGACATCAAAATGAATAGTTTTTTATGGTTGACTGAAGTCCTGAAACAGCTGAAAATCTGTCATCTGACGAGCACTCTCTGAAGTGTCTCAGTGGTTAAATCTACCTCTCATTTATTATCTCTCTCTGTCTTGTCTTTTTTTTATTATTTTAACAGACTTTGACAGAGACTTTCAATACGGTGAGTGCTGCGCACGCAGAGGTGCTCCTAACGGTCGACCCTCTACGCAGGAAACATCTGGGAGGTTGAGACGAGGGGAGCATTACTTTTAACTTGTTTTTCTGGAGATGGAAAATTTTCACCTCTGCAGTCACAAGCTCCTGGAGAAGCTCCAACGTAAACACTTAAGATCCTGTCTGCTAAATTGATTTTAAAGTGTTCACAAGTGGCCAGAATGCACAGATTGTCACATATTTTAGTCACATTCCATTGCTGGTTTTTGTGAAGGTTTTTTTTTTAATTTAAATATAAGGTCTGTTCACACTGATGGTGTTCAGTTTCACCCCCACATGTTTCTTGTTGAAAACAATAGGTTTTTTAGGTGAAAAATCAGGATGTTTGAAGTGATAATTAGGATATTTTAATGTGGTATTTTGTTTAAATGCAATGAACAATTATTATCTTACCTGTTTTACATAAATCTTCTACCAGCCTCAATTTGAAGAAATAGGGCGTAGCCAGTGGTGGAAACAGCTAACCAAAAAATTAGTTTTACTAACTTATAATCCTCTAACTAAAAGTTTAGCTWTGCTTATGCTAAACGTGAAAATATTAGTGGAAGCTAACGCTAAGCAGCTAAACAAGTAAAAAAAAAATTGGTGAAAGCTAACGTTAAACAGTTACACAATTAAAAAAAATTATTGGATGAAGCTAAAACTAACTACAAATTGCTGACCTCTAATTTATAATCCTCTAACTAAAAATATAGCTTCACTGGTTCCCTCTGTTAATTTCAGTCCACTAATTTATAATCCGCTAACTAAAAGTGTAGCTTTGCTAATGCTAAACAGCTAACAATGAACAGCTAAACAAGTAAAAAATTAGCGTAAAATGACAGCTAACTAAAACAACTGTCAGTCTGCGTCATACGTTTTTGTCTCCTTCGAGCTGAACACTGTGGACTGACACAAACCTGTTGATGTTAGCTTGATTCTATTGGATGGGATTTGAAGGTGGGTGGGTCATCTGTGGCATACTACTTCATTTACTGTATTAAAATGTGACACAAATCAAAAGGCATGATAGATATGTTACAACTATGCTGTAATTGTGATAACTAGTTGTACATGTTTGTTTTAAATAGGTATAGACAAAGTATGTATAKTTTACAGCAGGGATTTTCAACTAAATTGCTCCGGGGGCCACAGTTACTGCAGGTCAACAGCTGAGGGGCCCTGGTTTACACCTACCGTATTTATTCATGTATAATATGATTTTGAGTATCATTTTTGAGCTTAAAAAGCATTAAAAACCTAATTATCAATAATCCATGTATAATACCCCCCACTTTATGGATGATTTTAGGGTTAAATTTCCAGTATTATACATGAATAAATACAGTATTTCTAASTACCTATCTATCTATACCTGTGCTAATTAGCTGTTAGCAGACATTAAGTTGTTAAGACCTAATTTATCGTAAGCTAATTGGTCTGCCAATGTTTTTTAAAATTAGTAAAAAACAAAAAACTAATCGGCTAAATGAAAACTTGGTGATTAGCTGATTAGCTGAACCATGCCCACTACCAGGCAAACCCCTCCTGCTGCCATTTGTTCAAAGGGGATCRTTTTGACCCGAGGGCAGCAGTAAGATTAATAATTCAGACAGGATTGATCATCTAACTGCTTTCGCCAATCTTAAAAATTTAATTAGTGTTTGCATGAGCTGTTTTGTAATTCATGAAACACCAGGAATCCACTTTAATCCACTAATCTCGGTCGTGCTCTGACTAGTCATTAACTTGTCAGTATGGTCAAAATGAAACTCCTGTTCCTCCAAACTGAGGAGGTTCATAGAGCTATCTACAACAGGTAAGATATTAACTATTCATAACCTATTCACTCAATCCTACTTTAGGCCAATCGCTGCTAAAAACAACTTAAAAATGCAATATTTAGATCTTTAGATGTTTATATTCTATAATTTTGGATTGTTGTTCCCCATTAAACGTTAAACCATTTCTAACGGGATTTCTATTCTCGTCTTGGCTCATACTTACAGGGAGAGAAACAAAAAATAAGCTTTTTTTTTTTTTGTTTGATGAGTTTTTCTTACACACTCCCACGTCACTCAGTTCTCTTAAAACATCCCGTTTTAATCTCTTGGTATTTTGTTGTCCCTAAGGGAGGCTTGAGATAAATCTGACAGATATTTACAGACTTTTTTTCTCTCTCTCCTTTTTTTCCACTGATGATCTGCAGGGAGTTTGTTTTATTCTCCACCCAGCTCATGAAAGTTTATGATTGTTTGTCTCAAACAAGCTAACATTTCCTTTTAAAGGCTAAGCTTGCTCAGTGGACGGCTGAAAAACACACTGCATTTTGAATTATCTTTATGCGTTTCTTTCTGAGCGTTTATTTTGGGTTTTATTGTTGTTGGACMTTCTTGTTGCAGAAAACATTTTAGCAACAGTTTCTGGAACACTGCAGGGACCGAACTGCAGAGTTAAAGCTGATCTCAGTTCTGCAAGCTTGGAGGAATTTGTGGTTTCCCAACATGTGGGCGCTGTAATTAACGCAATTTAGAAACCTCAAAAAGCTTTTATAGTTTATGAGCTTTGAAAGTGAGGCCTCCTTCCTCCTCTGTAAACACTAAAACAAACCTTTTTTGTTTGTTTGCTTTAGATTATGAATCTCTGCGAATCGGTGGCCTGGTTTTTGCCGTGGTGCTCTTCCTCATGGGCATTGCTCTGATTGTCAGTAAGTGTTGAAACACACACACACACACGGAATGTCAAGCGTCCGTGTCACCTTTACACACTCTCCCTACATTCACCTAACGCTGCGAAGCAAAGACGGCTCCTGTTTCCCCCCTCAGAGGTCTGCGTCAGAGCCACGCTCGCAGGCTTTGTTTCGCTCACAGAGTCCCCTCAGAGTTCCTGCCAGCTCCCCTGCCCGCCCGGCGCCCTGAAACTGAAACTAAGCCTTAAATAATTTAGTGGGACTCTTCCCGCTCTGCCTCGCCTTCCCTCCACAGACGGCTTCCAGCTCGGCTCCACGATAACTCGTAAACGAGACTTAGTGCGAAATATTGTGTCTGCAGTAAAAAAAATAAAAATAAACAATGCCCAACTCCTTGCACGTCAAAGTTTTAAACCAAGATGTTGGAAAAATAAAGCATATTTAGTCACTCAGATGCTTGTTGAGAATAACATCAAATACAGAATCTGGACTTGAATGTTAATAAGAACTGAAACAGTACAAACCAACAGCCGGACCAATTATGTTGCGTTCACACCGAACGAGATTTCAGCTTCAAAATCACAGCCAACGCTGAAGTTTGAAGCTTGTGCACTTTGAGGTCAGATGCAGGTCAACTCTTGAAGCGCTGCACGGCAACAGCCTCCCYGCCTCTCCCTCCTCTGTCGGGCTCTGTTTAATGTCGGATGAGGAAGTGGCTTTGCTTTATTTACAGAGAGCAAGAGCATGTCACGTTCATCAGATAATTAATTCATAATTAATTCACCAGATAATTCAGAGTAGAGGCTCACAGCTCGCTTTCAGGACTATTTTTCCAGTCTGATGAGCCGCTGTCACGAATTGCTGCGGATCAGGACACCGACTGCAGGCACTGGATTTCAGCTAAAGAGCTCCTCTCCATCTGTTTCAGGTTAGTGGACATCATTCAGTAAACTGTCCCGTCGGGAAATATGTCGCTACGTCACACAGTGGAGTCTCTCTGATTGGTTGATGCGGCACGTCGAGCTGCAAAAGTTCATATTTTCTAACTTCAGCGATTTGAGCGTCAAGCACGTCGAACGCTCAGATCGTTCAAATCGCGCTGCTCTAATCGCGCTTGAGGCGCCGCAGMACTTCCCGACGCTGCTTGAAGTGCGTCCACCATAGACTTTGCATGTAAACCTGATGCTCCTGATGCTGAAATCGCGTTCGGTGTGAACGCACAATGACACTCGTTTTTTTGTCTCAGCGTTTGGCTCTGAATTCAGGAAGCAAACACATTATAACGCCTTCTTCTTGAGCCCCGCCCTTTTTCCAGCCACATATCAGATCCGGAGTAGCCTGGTAAAAACCAGACCCTTGTCCTTCACTTTGCTTCGAACTAGGGTCTGGACTCGCTGCTACTGAGAAGCGATTCTTGCTGGAGGCGTGGCCTCTGCTGAAGCATGCGTGTGTGTGTGTCGCTGTGAAGGAGGCTAAGCTAAGAAGCTAACCGGAAATCGCGCTCCCTGTAAACAACCCTACTGAGAGGAGAAATATACCGAGCCGAACGAAACRGCTGTAAATGAGAGCTGCTGCTTTGTCAAACAATTTTATTTTAATTTGGAAGCCTTATCAACACAGACTGGCTTCATTCACTTCCTCCACTGCCGTATGCTAACTAGCAGACACTGCAACGTCGTTCAAAACTCCGCCTTCCATTTGCTGATTGGCCCAGGTAAAATAAACAATAAGCAGACACTGCGCAGAAAATCAACGTTCTGTTCTCTGATTGGTTCGGCTAAAAATCTGCCAGCGAAATCCTTGTCTATGGGAGAAATCCCAGACGGAGCAGAGAAGGGAAACTAGATTTGAGCGGAGCTGCGTAGGAAGGCAAGGGCCAGGCTAGATCTGGGGCAGAACTCACAGAAGAACTGGGCTCAGTAACAACAGTTCTGGTTACAAGTGGGAACAAAAGTTATATTACGAGTGATTGAGGCATGTATTAATGTGTCATGGAGAGTACATTCTGTTTGAGCTGCCCGTGACACAAGCCACTGAAATCAGATTGCACATCACTAAATCAGAGTTTAATCATAAAGGTGAATAATTACGCATAATAAGTAACCAAAACACATCCTAGTTAACCTCAAAATAAAAAGGTACTTAGTATGTTACTATACATAACTTGTCACCTAGTATCCTGATGCATCTCAGTAATCCAGGTAAAAAAATCAAAAAGAAAAAAAATTGTATCGGTCTTCTGGACGGGTTCTTCTCTAATGAAATGTTTCGTCTCTCCTCCAAGAGACTTCTTCAGTCTGAGAGT